TCTGGGTAATGTCGTTCGCGGTAATGTCGTTCGCGGTAATGTCGTTCGCGGTAAAGTCGTTCGCGGTAATGTCGTTCGCGGTAATGTCGTGTCACGGTTTTAGGGTTTCTAGTGTATTAGGTAAAATTAGGTTAAAACAAAAGACAAAGAAAGCTTCTCCAAAAATCCGATAGTGTAACATTGTGACTAGCGAAAATGAAACGTACCTAGATAAGACAACAGAAAGCTGAATTTGCTGTGTACTTCCTTTGAATTTACTACCTAACTCTCTCTTCATACTGATTTTTCCTTTTCAGATAAAGATTATGAGAAGACAAAAGCATTGTCTGCTCGACGAACGCATTAAAATTTGATTGCACTATATTCTCGAAGAAAAGTCCGAGTAAAACATAGTGGAATCAATAGTAGATAACAAAATGGTGACTGGAAATAATGTGTTACTAGTACGTACCGGTGCCAGCCAGTGTCAGTGCAACGTACCATACCGTGCTTACTGGCTTTTTTTCAGTACTGTTTCAAGACTATATGAACTCTGCACGCACACGACAAGAAACTGACAGGATTCTGATAAGAGTGACACACGACATTTTGAAATAATCTTATCGGACTTTTATCAGTTATTTGTCTGAAGCTTATATAATGCTTATAAGAATCTTACGAAAAAAGCGGCCATCGCGTGTGCCTTTCTTATATAAGACTCTTGTAAGATTCTTATAAAAAAATGCCTTCTTAAAAAAAAGCATCTTTTAAAAAATTATCAAAATTTTTCGTCTAGGGAACACAGAAAGGTAACAGTTTTATTTTACTTTAAAATGTGTCAACTTACTATTAGAATTCATACCCTGGACGACCGAATTTACGGCAAATCTATAGAGATCTTATAGAAACCTTATAAGAAGCTTACCATAAGGCAGTCGATGTAAATGATTTATTGATAAGATAATTGATAAGATTATTATACGAAGGAATATAAGGATCTTTATAAGATTCGGATAAGATTTCGATGAGACAGTTTATATAATTAGTTTAGACGAATTTATAAGATTTTGATAAGTTAACATAAGACTTTTATTTACATCAATTAAAGCGTCGGCCTCTATGCATTTTCAAAGGGATGGATATTTTTTCTTTGAAAAGGAAAAGATTAAATGCATTTTTGTCAATTTTCATGTATAATTATTATATTCCGAAACTGTAATACAGTATTTCAAGCTACTATTTTTCGATTCTGTAATTAAATCAGTTTTAAACGAACTCTTTTCAACTACCCTGGCTTTCCGGCTTTCTTTTTATCGGACCACACTGTACACTTGATAATAAGTTGTAGAAAATAAAAAACGATTTTCAGTTTTTGTCCATATACGAATTTAGCAGCGATTTTCTACTTTCTTGAAAATGTGATTTTCAAGAATTTTACGCTTTTTCATAAAACGTGTATGAATTTTCTGCAAAAACAATTCAACTTTTTTTGGAAAATCCGCGTTGATTTTTCAGAAAATTAGAAACGATACTCTAGAAAATAAATCCATGTTGCAAAAAGTTAACGACGCTTTTTAAATTTGAAAATTCTCAGCGAATTCGTATGTGGACAAATTGAAAATGAAAAGTGGAATATATTTTCAAAGAAATTGAAACTCTAGAACGATTTTTTACAATTGTTCAGCGTCCTTCTCATTTAAATTTTTTTTCGGTTTTTTCTTTACATGGAGTCCAAAAAAGATTTACTAAGGGATGCTTTAATACAGGTAAATGAATACGAACTAATTAGTTCTGTCCGTTCAGTTTTCTAGTAGAACAAAACACATAAAGCAGGAGCATTTCTTAAAGTTTGGGATGAAAGACTAATGTCGTGTTTATAAGAATGGAATATGTTCGCGAATATATCTCTCTGTTCTTAATTTGATTCGGTTTTTGAACTAAAGGAAAGAATTATTCTGTATGTTTTTTAAAGAAGAAAAGGGCGCATTAAGGGATTAATCAGTTAAGCTATCTTTTTTCAATGAAAGAACATGTCATAATGTGCTGATATTTTTCAAATATAAATTGTGAGTAAGAGAATCCAAATGGCGGACTGAATGACATGTCGTTAACATTTTTTTACTACATGTTTCTTTCATTTAGAAGAAGGATATCTTAACTCTTTTCTAGAACGAAAGATAGAAACAGATAGTATTTGTACGACTAACTCAACTATATTCATTATTTTATTTAATATAGAAGCTTTCAACTCAGACTAGAGTCATCATCAGCTACATATTTGATAAGAGGAACGAAGTATATATATGAGTATTTCTTATACAACTAGTACCGTTTTTGTGAAAAAATTTGACCTAAACAAAAGGTAAAGATACAGGTTTTTTCTTATCATATATCGATAGTGTGTACCTGAGAGTATCCCAAAACATCGGTTAGCAAACTACAACTACTTTGTTTTCCAGAATTGGAAAACATTTTTCTATTATCGGCGCCAAAACACCGTGGACGTGATTGCTTTTTGAATACCTTTTGATAGAAAAAAGCTAGAGAGCTTCGGTTTCCGCCATCCGAAAGAGGAGACTTGGAGGCATGGTTTCATCACCAAAATTATTTTCAGAAGAGTTTTCTGAAGCAGGTTTCCACGAGATCTTTGGAAAGCGAGGCTAGCTATAAAAGTTTTCCAATAGGATTGTATTGCTTTTTTTTCATGAGCTGATAGCCCGGGGTGTCCTCTTCAAAATAGGAGTAAAGTGAGATCTTCATTTTCCATGGTTCGGGCGTTGTATAGGATTTCCTACGAGTCTCAGGACTGGCACTGGAGGACTATTGGTAGCCTTAAAGACAGATGCACTATGGGTAATCGACCATACTGAGTTTCATGGCGATATTTATGTTCAGAAAACTTTTTAAAAATCTAGCAAAAAGCCAGTTTTACAAAAATTAGGCGAAAATGGGATATTTCACCTAATATACGTTATCACTTTCGAGATGTCGCTCGGATCTGATTTTGTAGAGAACATCTTGGTCTATCCATATATAAAAAAACGGATGGATTTCTATGTAAAACTTTGGAGCGAAAATCCGACCTCGATAGCTGACTCCGTTCGCGAGTTATACATGTCGCATTCCCCACACTATTTTGAAATGGATAGTAGTACTTGAAGTTCTTGAACTATGATCTAATTTTTCAAAGATCTCTTAAAAAGCCTACTTTCGGAAAAGATTTCTGGAATTTTTCTGTTTAGAAAAGATGCATTCAACTCTTCTTTTTCCAATGGTGAAGACCCGAATTCTCCAGTTCTTTTTGTTCTCGACTTATTCAAAAAATAATCGATCGCACTGGGTTTTTTCGATAACAGTGAAAGAGAAGAAACAGGTGTGTGGAGAATTCCCTTCTCTAGAAAACGATTTTTTGGTCGATCTAAATGCTATTAAGTACTTCATTAAATTCAACATGTTTTGAAACCTCTACACTAGAAATTTGGCTTTATTCGCGCGTGTTATGTTAAAATTACAGAAGAAACAGAAAAAAAACGGTTACGGGACATTTCTTCGTATTTTCTAGTTTTCTCCCTTATAAAGCAATCTTAGTCTTTGCTATTTATGCAGAATCACAGAACAGAAATTTAAGCAGAAATATTAGATTGATTGATATAGATACACGATCCATAAATGATTACTGGGAGAACAAATGATTTGTATAACTGATTTAATGTGGATGTACTGGAAATTCTTTTACATGTTTTTATCATATGTAATAACTTTACACATTTATTTAAGACATATTGTTGATGTACTAGCCAATCTAATTTACTCGTCAAAAAAATTCCAAGGTATTTTCGTTGTTTAACCTCATTTAGACTGATGTTATTTATTACGAGAGGAGGTGGTGTTAAATTGTAGCTAAATGTCATTGACTCACATTTCTGTTCATTTAGAGCCAATTGCCACTCAACTGACCATTGATGCATTTTTAACAAATCGCTATTTAAATATGCCGTTAAATCATGTATATCACTATTAGAATGATGAATGACTGTATCGTCAGAAAACAACCGTGTGCATGAGTTTAATGATTCTCCAATATCATCAATAAAAACAAGAAACAACAGTGGCCCGAGGACGCTCCCTTGGGAACGCCTCGGTTCACTTTTTTGGGAGACGACAGACTTCCATTAATCACTGTTATTATTTGTCTATCAGACACATAGCTCTGAAACCAACTCAGTAGTGAGCCGCAAATACCTTTCATTTCTAATTTATTCAGTAATCCTCTTAACCAAACACGATCGAACGCTTCACTAAAATCGAGAAAAATAGCTCTGGTTATTTGCCCTTTATCTCCATTCTGATAAATTGTATGAACAAAATCAATCAGCTGATTCACTGTGGAATCACCCCTAATGAATCCCGATTGCATACTCGACAACAACTTATTCGTAGTGAGATAGTGATATAAATGATTATATACAACGCGCTCAAAAACTTTACTGAGAATTGGTAGCAGAGTTATTGGTCTATAATTATTTGTACTAGAAGAATCGCCGTCTTTAAATAATGGATTGATATAACCTATGACAATACATCGGTGACTTGACCAGTAACATGTAAGGTAGAAAGCGGTGAAGGGGTTGTGGTGAACATTGACAAAGGCGGCTCCGCTTTTCCGTTTTTTGCCTGCACCAGAAAAGCGCGTCTCTCAGAACTAACACTGTTTTTGTGTTAGCTACTAACACCGCTAATTTATTTTAAGCACACGTAAGAGAAAACAGCGAAAAGTCCTCAAAAAGGAACTTTGTGAATATTAAGTTATTAGTATTATTATAAGTACCACGACTGAACAGTGCCCTTTGTGCCGATATGAAGAGAAACAATAGGATTCATGGATCATATAATTCAGAACTAGCAAGAACACTGGACGATCCCTGACCACCAGCAGCAAGAACTTTGCCGGAACCAAGCATAGTTGCTGTATGCTGATAACGTGCTGTTGCCATGTTTCCAGCAGAGCTCCACAGGCCCGTTGCTGGATCATATAATTCAGAACTAGCAAGAGTACCGGACGTTCCGATACCACCAGTCACAAGCACTTTGCCGGAACTTAGCATGGTTGCAGTATGCACAAAACGTCCTGTTGCCATGTTTCCAGTAGAGTTCCACTTGCCCGTTGATGGATCATATAATTCAGAACTAGCATAATTACTGGACGATCCCCGACCACCAATCACAAGAACTAAGCCGGAATTGAGCAAGGTTGCAGTATGCTGATAACGTGCTGTTGCCATGTTTCCAGTAGAGTTCCACTTGCCCGTTGATGGATCATATATTTCAGAACTAGCAAGGTAACTGCCTCCCTGACCGCCAGTCACAAGAACTAAGCCGGAATTGAGCAGGGTTGCAGTATGCTGATAACGTGCTGTTGCCATGTTTCCAGCAGAGCTCCACAGGCCCGTTGCTGGATCGTACAGTTCGCAACCGGCGAGAACACCGGACGATCCCTGACCACCAGCCACAAGAACTGTACCGGAACTGAACAAGGTTGCAGTATGCACCCAACGAGCTGTTGCCATATTTCCAGTAGAGTTCCACTGACCCGTTGATAGATCATACAATTCAGAACTAGCAAGGTAATCGGACGCTCTACCACCAGCTGCGAGAACTTTGGTGGTATTGAGAAGTATTGCAGTATGCTGATAACGTGCTGTTGCCATGTTTCCAGTAGAGTTCCACTGGCCCGTTGATGGATCAAATAAGTCACAACTAGCAATATAGCTCGCTGCATAACCACCAGCAGCTAGAACTTTGTCGGAACTAAGCAGAGTTGCAGTATGCTGGTCACGTATTGTTGTCATGGTTCCAGCAGAGTTCCATGGGGCTTAAGGAGAAAACGTTACGACATTAATTAGTATTCTAATTCTAGTGGTATAAATGAATCTCAGTGCAGAGTGTTTTCATGCTATTCAAGGCTTTGCGTGCTAAAGAATGTGTGAGACTCTTGGATTGATCGACACCTTACTTGTATTTTCGATAACATGATATAGAGCAGTCTTCATTTGAAAAGTATCTGCTTTTATTTGAAGAGTTGTGAAAAATTTCAGAATGCACTTTGCTCTGTAAAGTTCTTACATGAAGCCCGTACAAGATCCTAGCAGATGGTTTCGTTTAGGAAACGCAAATTACCGACTGGCACGCTTGTCGTTGAGCTTGCCGTTGTAGCTGCCGTTGAGCTTGCCGCTGAGCTCACCGTGGAGCTACCAGTTGATTCTACCGTTGAGCTTGCCGCTGAGGTTGCGATTGAGCCTACCGTTGAACTTGTCGCTGAGCTCACCGTGGAGCTACCAGTTGATTCTATCGTTGAGCTTGCCGCTGAGGTTGCGATTGAGCCTACCATTGAGCTTGTCACTGAGCTCACCGTAGAGCTACCAGTTGATTCTACCGTTAAGCTTGCCGTTGTAGCTGCCGTTGAGCTTGCCGCTGAGGTTGCTGGTGAGCTTGCCGCCGAGGTTGCGATTGACCCTACCGTTGAGCTTGTCACTGAGCTCACTGTGGAGCTTCCAGTTGATTCTACCGTTAAGCTTGCCGCTGAGGTTACTGGTGAGCTTGCCGCTGAGGTTACTGGTGAGCTTGCCGCTGAGGTTACTGGCGGGCTGGCCTCTGAGCTTGCGATTGAGTCTACCGTTGAGCTCACCGTGGAGCTCACCGTGGAGCTCACCGTGGAGCTCACCGTGGAGCTTCCAGTTGATTCTATCGTTAAGGTTGCCGTTGTAGCTGCCATTGAGCTTGCTGATAAGCTTGCCGCTGAGGTTGCGACTGAGCCTATCGTTGAGCTTGTCGCTGAGCTCACCGTTAAGCTTGCCGTTGTAGCTGCCGTTGAGCTTGCCGCTGATGTTGCTGGTGAGCCTATCGATGAACTGGTCGCTGAAGTTGCAATTGAGTCTAACGCTGAGCTTGCCGCTGAGCTCACCGTGGAGCTTCCGGTTGATTCTCCCATTGAGCTTGCCGTTGAGGTTGCTGTTGTAAGTTCGGTTGAGCTTACCGTTGTAGCTGCCGTTGAGGTTGCTGTGGTAAGTTCCGTTGAGCTTCCAGATGAACCTGTCGTTGTGTTTGTCGCTGATGCTACCATTGACCTTGTCGCTGAAACTGCGATTGAGCTTGGCCATGAGCTTGCCATTAAGCTGGTCGCTTCCGTGGTTGTTTCTTTGCTTTCTGAAAGGATAAAATATTTCAGAATGCACTTTGCACTGCATAGTTCTTACAATAAGGCAGTTGTCACATGAAGCACGTTCAGGATCCTAAAAAATGATTTCGTTTAACAAATTCAAATTACCGACTGAGACGCTGTTCGTTGTGCCTGCTTCTGAGCCTGCCGTTGATGCTGCCGTTGAGCTTGCCGGGGAGCTCGCCAGTGAGCTTGCTGCTGAATGTGCCGTTGATATTTCCGCTGAGCTTGCCACTGAGCTTATCGTTGAGCTGGTCGCTTCCGTGGTTGTTTCTTTGCTTTCTGAAAGAAGCATACATCCTTTTTAAGCAAGAGTGACGGAGAAGAGTGCGAAATGATCAGAAGAGTTTTGTGAATATGGTTATTAACCAGAGCTACAAAACTTTTTCTGTACCAGAGGTAACAAATAATTTTACCTGTAGCTAACCGTTTGTTTCCAAATGGGATAACTCTGACTAGGAAAACTATACTGAGGTGAACTGACGCGGGAACCGGTTTAACTGTCAAATCATTTTTTCAGTGAGACCTATAACTTTGCAAAAAAAGGTCGTGTAAAGCTGGGGGATGTCTCATGTTAATCAGAAATGTGGAGGCTGGAATTATGCTTCATTAGGAAAGGTTATGATTATTTTTCACAGTTTCTGAAAAACTGGTTTTCCAAAAACCGGATCGCTGGAGACCTATATGCAACTGCCATGGGCATATTCAGAATCACCATAGTGGATAACCTATAATCCACTAGGTCTCATTGAGAAAACGATTTGATAGTTAAATCGGTTCCCTCGTGAGTGGAACGAGGCTGCCGACCATGGATATACCTTAGCAAAAACTACTTTTCCTTCTAGGGTAAGAAAAATTTCTAAAGCTACGCCTATGGCATAAAACTCATCTTGCGCTGTTTCTGAGAAAAATCAAATATAGCCAGTATTTTTGATTAAGAAATGTTTAGTTAGGTTTTCCGAGCAAAATTTTCATCGACAGAAAAATTCAAATATTTTCGGTAAAAAGTTAACGGATGATAAACATATTATACAGAAATCGATTTATCGTGAGTAATAAAATATTTTGGTAAAACAGTAATATTGGAAAACGTTATAAGAAATACAGAACTTCTACTTAAGTATTCTTCTTACGTTTTATTTTGAGTAGGCGTATTCGTCCGAGTAGCGATATGTTAAAGGAGGGCGCTATTACCAGCGTAATCTTTTGAAATTTCGCCTTCAGGTGTTTTTATGTCAAGGGATTATGTGTTTAATTTTAGGAAATTCCAGCGGTCATTTGGATCGTTTTTTCAACGGTTGAAAGTCGTCTCGGTTCTGATTCCTAACTGAAAGTTTTCCCATTTATTTTCTTCATTTTGTCTCATATGACGTATGGCTGTCAAAATAAATTTATTATGGAACGCTGCAAGCTGTATTTCCTGGTTTTTTCGTTACTTATAATCATACATTTTGGTGTCCTTTATCAAATACCGATACAGGAGCAGGACAAACAAAAACAGCAGTTGTAACGACAGCTGGACTGTATGAGTTCAATGTATTCCAAATGGGGCTAAAGCATTCTCCTCCTACTTTTCAGCGTATTATGAATGACCTCATCGCAGATTCAAGATGGGAATATTGTCTGGTATACATCGTTGATATTATAAGTTTTTCAAAATCTTTTAATGAACACATCAGACATGTTGAAGAAGTGCTTGCAGTGTAGGGAGAATTAAATCCACTAAAATGTTCATTATTTAAACAAGAAGTGGATTACTTGGGTCCTACGGTCACTGGTGAAGGTCTTAAACCATTGAAAGAACATATTGAAGCAATGACAAATATGCCGCAACCTAAACAGCTAAACAACTTCACTTATTACTATTTACGATTCATAAAAGATTCGCAAAAATTGCGGTATCACTATATAAATTTACAAAGAAGAATGCTGTATTTAATAAATCGGTATGGGATGCTGAGAGCGAATAGATTATAATACAATAGAAGAAAAATTAACCGCATCATCATTGTAATTACATTTTTCCGATGACGGCTCAAAGCTGGTGTTAGAAACTGATGCATCAGAAGTTGATATAGGTGCAATATTACGACAAATGATACCACAGGACCCAACAGTTATTAAGAATTTGTCGAAAACATTTGATAAAGCACAACAAAAATACAGTACGACAGAAAAAGGGTGTAAAGCGATAGTATGGACAGTTGAAAAATTAAAGTCGTATTTATGAGGACAAGAATTTTCCGTGAAAACAGATCATTGTTCGCTATATAGCTGCCAATGAAAAAATCCATGGCAAGATTACAAGCCATACAATTGAACATCAAACCAACAGCAATAGCAGATACACGTAAAGATGACAATGATGAAATTGATTCTAGAGCAGACGATCCCATGCCGTTATCGAATTTGGGAATCGATTTTGATATAGATAGAATTAAGCAACAAATGATGTAATTATACAAGAAAAAATGGAGAAAATGAAAAATGGAATGAATAAATCAGATATGACAGTAGCTGATAGTATACTGTGTAAATTATTAATCAGAGATGGTACCAAAACGAAGATTAAGTTGCCGTGAATCTCACATGCAATGACTCAAAAAGTATTACGGGTATTTCGTGACCATTCATCACCAGGACATTTTGGTGTACGTCGAACATGTTATAAAAACAAGCAACATTATTATTGACTCAATATGTATGAAACAGTACAAAGTTATGTTAGACCATGTAAAAATGTACAAAATTTAATATTAAAAGGAATAAGCCCCCGACTTTTTTCAACCAATTCCATAGTCGGAGGGTGTCTTTGATGTGGTACATATGGGGTAAAGCTGGTTGTTGAATGGATTCCAGAATTCTACGCAGAAACAACAGCTTGAAGATATTCACCTTTTGAATAACTTTTGATAGGAATGAGATAAAGACCTGCGATCTTCGCTGTTCAATAGCCAAGACTTGAGCAGAACGTTTCACAAGCGGAGGCAACTTTTGAAAAAATTCCAGAGATCGGGCTTCCAGAGGATCTTTGGAAAACCAGCTCCGTTCTCAGAAAACTAACATACAATGTTAGTAACTTTTTTGCATCCGTAGATAGTCCGGACGTTACTCTACAGAATTATGCAACTCCCGGCTCTCTAGCTATCGTCGTTCGGGCAGGACTCGCTTTCCCCGAACACGTGTCTATCTCCGAGCAGACATCTCTGGGAATCTCAAAATGCCATGGACTATAGGTAATCGACTACGCTGAGCATAGTGGCAACATTTGTTTTTGTGTAGAAATGAATA